CCCATCCATAATACGAATGAGAGTTCAATTACTCTGTTTGATCTAAAACAGAACGTAAAAAGATTCCTTTTCTTTTATATCTGGAGTCGTCGAAGTGAAGATTTTTTTCTTATCGTTCAATGAGCGTCTTGTATTTCATAGAAATTGGGGGCAATATAATCCTTACGTAACATCTCACAATAACACTAGGACCCACAGAAAAAGTGGGACACACTATATATATGTGCTGTGTGAGATCATGTTACTAATTATAGAGGTTTGGAACGTATTTTGTTAGTAGATGATCCGGATTCTAGTAACTATGGTATCTATGAGAAGGGCATGACCTTCATCCCTTTCTCACATAGCTTTGTCAACCCCATCAAGCTAAATGGCAAACATTTGATGTTCAATTTATTGGTCCTCAGCTTTAAACTGCAAGTGAGACAAATGTTTGATTATCCCATTAGCAAGCTAGTCATGAGACGAAATAAATCGAACAAGCAATTTCTTCTATATTATTTGTTCATGTGTAAAATGAAAATCTATCTCTATGTGTTGGGTCTTGCATGAAAGACAGGATTAGCTATAAGATATATATTTCAAAGATATTGCACCATAGAATAGGTGATGCAGAAAGAGAGACACCTAACTCAGTTAATAGAGAGCATAACCGTATCGCTTCTAGAGCAACCATACAATACTACGATACTCACTCTCAATATTTGAGTGAGATATATACAACGGCTTGCTTCTTAAAACACCAAGAAAAATATCATAACCGCTTTGGGATCACCTATCATTAGGGCAACCTACTTAATCAATATCGGAATAAGCATATAGTTGTAGAGAAGTAGAGGGATGAATTTGGAACCCATTTATACAATTGTAGAGAACCAAACGCAGTCTTAAGAAAAAGTTGTTCCTTCCAATGCTATGTACTATTTACATAAACTTCATACAAATGGCAAATGTATTGGTTGAGGATCATATAATTAATATAATTAATGGCTGAAAAACGATAATTACTCCAGGGGTGAGCAAAAAAAACCAAAAAGCTGAATCGACCGAAAAAGCCGGTTGAAACCAAACCAAAAAATCGGTTAATCGAATCGATCGATTCGGTTTTGGTTCAGTGTTTTTAAAAAACCGAAGGTATCAGTTCGGTTTTGGTTAACCAATATAAAAACCGACGGTTAACCGAATCGACCGGTATACATGTTTTTCTATATATTTTATATATATTTATATATATTATATATATTTTTTATATATTATAAATTAATAAATATGTATTGTATATAAATATATATATTTATAATATATTATATATTATTTATTATTTAAAATATAATATTTTGTATATATTTATATATATTTTTATAATATATACTATAAAACAAAAAAATCGAAAAATCGACAAACCAAACCGACAATTAACTGAACCGGTCAACTGGTTAACCGACTGATTTTGATTCGGTTCCGATTACCGGTTTTCCGAATTTATAGAGTAAAGCAACTTGGACCAAAACCAGTCCTAGCTTGATCTAGAGAAGGAAAACAAAAAACATAATTCCAAGATGGTAGGCTTGATTTCTATCCATGTCACATGTATTAATGAGCAGCTTGATGGGTAGCCTTAAGCCTGTTTCTATTGCTGATACTTGTGTAAGAATGATGGACAGCTTGATGGGAAGGGGGTTACTTTGTATAGGTTCCTCCGAGTTGTGTCAAGCGTTGCAGCTTAGCTTGTAGAGCTTAATTTAAAGCAACCTTGACAAAGCTGCTCATCAAAACAAAGCATATTTACAACATCAGAATTATGCCCTAATGTCCCTCACTGCTCTCTCTAACAATAAAAATCCAAATACAACCAAAAACAATTTTGTCTCTCTATAAGTCCCAGCTATTCCTAGTCTTGGACTGAAAACAGATCTAACTGGCTAAGGTAAAGAATAATTAAATAAAACAGTAAGTTGGAGATCTGGTTGTCTCAAAGAATTTGTCTCTCTATAAAACAATTTTGTCTCTCTTTTTCTATTGTTTTTCCGTTATGTAGGATGATTACAGATTGGTATAAAGGACTCAAGATTTAGACCTTGGAGATTCTCTTGCATTCAGTTTACTTGTGCATAGTTCACCAACCATTGCAAGGGCCATCCATGACCATGTATTGATTTAATGAAATATACACT